GACAGAGTTTACACATACTGTTCATGGGGTTTACAAGCTTTGTCAGGAAAAGGTGCAAACTTTACTGGCCCACTAAGAAGAGACTGGACAGTCACCTGTCTGAAATGGTACAGGTCCCTGTCTGAGCAAGGGGCTAACACTACAACATCTGAATATCTTTTTCCAGATCTTCATGGCTGCTTTACCAAGTGCTGATCCGTAACATACTAAATTTCTTGACTCTTTGCTCCTTTAATGATAATAATCAATCTTAAAAGAGCAGAAACTATCCATCACTTAGACATCTTCGTTGTCAGTTCTCCATGATGTTTGCGGTACCTGTTGTCAGTAATTTGATCTTCTTCATATTTAATCTTCATTCCCCCCCCTTTTTTTTTTCACGGTCCTTCTTAAGTTTCATTAAGGGTAAGGATAATATAGATATAGTAGTTTATGAGAGAGGTGCTACTTGGGCATTTCCCCTATGCTGCATTCATGTGTTTGAGAGGGATGAGAGGGGAGGAAGGTGTAGGGAGGAAGTAGGATGGTAAGAGGAGAAGGGGAGGGGAGAGAGTAGGAGGGGAGGAGAGAAAGAGGAGGGAAGTAGGGAAGGTATTAGTGAGGGTGGACGCGGCCTGGGGGGAATGGGCAGGCGGTACCAATGGTTATGAATTTATTTTATCTTGTAAATTGTATTTTGTATGATGAATAAATGGAAAATAAAAACTTTTTATTAAAAAAAATAATTTGATCTTCTTCATATTTAATCTTCGTCCCCCCCCTTTTTTTTTCACGGTGCTTCTTAAGTTTCATTACTAGAGCCTCCAGATCATTTATGAGCTCGCTTCTCGGAGTAACTATATCAGCAATGCACAGTTTTTCTTCCTCCAGTTTTAAAACCATGCTCATATTCTTCCAGTTTAAACCCCCTTCGTTATGTATTCAGCACATAGTTTGAATAAATAAGGGGAGAGTATACAGCGTTGTGTCTTCTTTTGTCAACCTGAAACTAGCTGAGAAAAATCTTCTTGGCCAGCATATTTGTCCCAAGGCTGGGTGTTATGGAAAATATCAGTGCCAGCAATGTTTATTCAGTCATCGGAACAACATTATGGAAAGAAAGGCGTAAAATAATCCATGCATTTTGAGGACAAGTTCATTTTTTTATGAAAGTTTTTGGGAGGAAGTTTCATTTTAAAAAGTTTTTGAAGTGGATGAGAAGACCTACAAGAAGTGCTTCCTTTCACCTTCTTAAAGATGAAAAAGTAGGGAGGGGGTGTTTGTTTAATTGGGTGGTCTCTGCCCCAAGCCCTAGTGTTGTTGTTGTTTTGTAAGGTCTTAAAGGCTTGGCTTTGCAAATGGGTTTGGAGAGCTAGTTGCGGAGATCAACCAAGCACAGCAACAGGGTCCAATTGACTTTTCAGGAGACACTGCCAACTTTAGTCCACGATCTCTGGACCAATAGAACTATGTGTTCCTCTTAGCTGCTATTGTTAGAAGTTTTGTTAGAAGTTTTACTAGTAGGGACAAAGTGGCCTAGCGGTTAAGAGATTGAACTTATAGACTGGAAGATTGGCAGTTTGAGACCCAAGCACTGCATTATGGGGTGAGCTCCCGTTCCTTGCTCCAGCTCCTTGCCCACCTAGCAGTCCGAAAGCATGCAAACGCGAGTAGATAAATAGGTACCACTTGGTGAGAAGGTGTTCTGTGTGCCTCTGTGTGTAGTTTTGCTAGCCACATGACCAGGGAAGCATCTTTGGTCAATGCTGACTCCCTTCGGTAGGAAACAGAGATTAGCAAGACATGATTGGACAGGGGGAATCTGTATCTGTTTTTTATTTATTTGTTTTTCTGGTATAGCAAAAATCAGATTTTATCAAAAGGTTGGGTTTATGGATTGTATTAAGGCTCTCCCCCATCTACTACCCCAGTTCCCATCTAATTCAACTATTCGAGGAATCAAGCTTTAAATTTGTGGATGGACGTTGTAGAGGGAAAGGATTATATTGCAAGAAAATGCTTTCGTTTTGTTTTTTTAAAAATCATAACACAACTTCTACTCTGTGTTTTATGCCTTGTTCTTCTAGCAGCTGTTCTGTTCCCGGAATGGCACTTTTACCATAATTATGCACTTACAGAAACAATAATGACACAAACAATAACTTGGAAAGACATAGTTGTGTTATGCAAAGAATGCACTGGAAAATATTCAGAGAGATGTAACATGGCGTGAGTCAACATGATACACAGCAATTGAAATCTACTCTTATTGTGTAATGGAAATGCTATTATGTAATGGAAGAAGAAATAAATGAGATTGGTGATAAATGGAGGGATGAGAGAAATTAAAAACTAGAATATATCTGGAAGGGATACCTGAATTGATAACTTGTTGAGTTAAAGTGAAATTTGATTTTGGTAACTGTAAACTGATAAAGTTTTAAAACAGGTTTAGTACTAATAGAAATTTAATTTAGAAATGGAATATTTTAAACGTATTACGTTATTTGAGGGAAATAGAGAGGAGACAGTGAATGTATTGAGTTGAGTTGTTTATTTATGTTTTTACTTTGGAATGTCTGATTATCCAAACACCATGGTGTGTCCTGAGTACTTTTTCTTAAAAATTAAAAAACCAATAAAATATTTTCAAAAAAAAGAGAAATCTACTCCTTTCATTCTTCCAGACTTTTCCACTAAAATGGTTCTTAAAAGTTGCTTCACAAATGTGACGATTGGCATATTGTTCATTGAACGTGTACCGTCGCTGCTTCCATCCCCTCGTCTTCTTATCTGTCTCTTATCTCTGCTGCTTACTTTGCTAAATGGGTCATTTAAGCTAGAAGTTGTGGCAGAGGTTACAGTCCGGTCTGAATTTTTACTTTGTTTTAAAAAGGTCTTCTGTAGTTCTGGCGAAGCCTGTCTCCTGCTGCTTCTGAAGGAAACCCAGTGCCGTAATTAAAATATTTCTTTCCTTTTTCTTCTAAAAGACAACTTCCACCATTTTCTCAGGTTCTCCGTGTTTCTAAAGTACAAAACAAGGCCCTTGGAAGTGCCATCCTTCTTCCAAAACTGTGTTTCCAAAAAAACTAAAGGAGATTCATAAATGAAACACTGATGAGAAGGTGTGGAAGACTAGGAGTGACATGACAGCCGTATTCCAGTATTTGAGGGGCTGCCATAAAGAAGAGGGGGTCATCTTATTTTCCAAAGCACCAGAGGGCAGGACAAGGTAAACAATGGATGGAAATCGATCAAGGAGAAAACCAATTTGAAATTAAGGAGAAACTTCCTAACAGTGGTGACAATTAACCAGTGGAACAGAAGTTGCCTCCAGAAATCATGGGCGCTCCATCACTGGAGGTCTTTAAGAAGAGATTGGACAGCCACTTGTCTGAAATGGTTTAGGGTCTCCTTCCCGAGCAGGGGGTTGGACTAGAAGACCTCCAAAGTCCCTTCCAGCTGTATTCTGTTCTATGGGCCAGGTCTTTCCACATCTTCCGATCTTGCGCTAGAGTTGTTCTATGCTCTGACTGGTGTCAGCTTTGATGTTGTCCAGCCATCGTGTCCTTTGATGGCCTGCTTGTCTTTTACTGCTAACTCTTCTAAACATAATTGCTTTCTCCACGGCCAAAGTAAATGAGACGCAGTTTCATGATTTTGCCTTTTAGTGACGCGTCTGGTGTTATGCGCTCCCATGCTTGCTTGTTAGTCACCTTTCCTTTCCAAGTATAGTCAGCAGAATCTCCCCAAAAGTGTTTGGAGCTGTCTATGTTTCAAACAAAAAATTAAAAAAGGAAAAAAAGGTTCTGTGTTAAGACAATAGATGGCCTTGGAAATGCAAATAAAGGCCAGGTACTTATTATCATATCTGGTGGACATGCCCCAAAGCAAAAAAGATTTTGGGTTAAAATACATTTATGGTTGGAGAAAAATGACTAAAACACAAATAGACTTTAAACCAGAATTATGTTTGTCAGGAATAATAGGAACTAATTATGAGAAAGATTGCAGATATCTAAGACTACACATATTAATGGCAGCAAGGTTGTATTTGCCCAACATTGGAAAAATGAAAACTTACCTACTGAAGAAGTACTAATTAAGAAAATTCTAGAGCGTGCAGACATGGATAGATTGACTTTAAAGATTAAAGAGAAAGAAGGCTCGGTGTATTTTAGAACATGGGATAATTTTTATCAATGGTTAGAAAAACGAGTCAGAGAGAAAGGAACGTGACATATAATTTTGAATATACATTAGCATCAATTAACATATTGTTTATGATAATTAGCTATATCTATTATTACTAGTTAAACACATGTACCCAGACATTACGCTGTGTGCGAAATATTGAAAATGTTATTTGGAGAAACCCCAATCCTAACCGTAACCCTAACCCAAATCCCAACCCTATAAAAACTAATAAAATCTATGCAAAAGAGAGAGAGAGAGTAGATGGCCTTCATCTTCTCCAGGGCTTCAAGAGATGACTAGATCTTTCCAGAATCTGATGAGAAAATGGACTTAGCATTCCTTCTGCTTGTTGTCCATATTTCGTAGGGAGCCCTGCCAACCCACTTCTTTCCAAAGAAGTCTTGGTCACATCTGGTCCCCAGGCACATCGCTAAACGTAGCACACATCCAGATACACATCTGGCTAAGGGTTCCTATAAACGTTTACAAGAGAGCATAGTTTTGGCAAATTTGTTTCATAACTCTCACATGGAATAGTTTCTCCATTTAAGGATTGCTGCCTTCTCGGAGACATAAATAAAAACACGCAAGAAAATAAATATTCAAATGAGATGGTTGTAGTGAGGGAAAATAGCCACAGACAATAAACACATATTAAAGAAAAATGTTAAACAAACGATTGCATTTCTTTAGGAAGAATAGAACTCATTCAATGGTAACATTTGGCCCGAAGGAAAGCAATAAATGTTCAGTTACAGTTACAGTGACAACATATTTGGAGGACAATATTCTTCTTTCTGTGACTTTTTTTCTTCTTATTTTAGGATAAGAGTCAAGGATTGAGTTTTGTCCGAATACACGCACCATGGAATGTACTGAGCCGAGAAGCAGAAATTCTGAAAATCAAAATGCCCACTAAAAGAGTAAGTATGGATCAATTCCGTTTTTTATCACTTTTGAATGTTAGAAACAGAGGGAAGTAGCAGATAGGTGTGCAGCAGACATGTCAAACTCGTGACATCACCAACTCCCATCCAGATGTGCCCTGATCTGGTTCATCCTCCTTCGAGCTGACATCTGGAGAAGCATCCAGGGGAGTCATCACAGAGTGGAGTTTAGTTCACATTGTTATGGCCACCAACATGTCTTTTGTGACCATACCTTGTAGACCAGGGGTGTCAAACTGCCGGCCCGCGGACCGGAT